GACTTTTCCTTTTGCTGTCTAGTCATCCTCGTCGGTCTTCTGCTTCTTGGTGTCCACATCGTCATCCTGGTAGGGAAGGAAGATGGTCAGGTGTCCTTCCACAGCCCAGTGCCACTCCTGGGCACCACCCCTGCTGTCACCCTAGCAGGCCAGTATCATGGGCACTGATACTGGAGGCCAACCAAGAAGCCCAATCCCATCCACCCCCACCCACTTCTTGCGAAGCCAGAACCTACCTCATCATCTTCAGCTGCCCGTTTGCCTGTAGCTGCCTCAGCCTCCTCATCCTCATCTTCTTCTTCACCTGGGAGGCAGCAAAAGCACCAGTCAAGTCAACCGCTTATCCTCCTCAGCCAGCAGGAAAGCCAGAGCCCATGCCCTTCCCCACCCCAGGGGATCAGAATGAGAACTGAGGACCCCACACCTGCCCACGGCAGTAGGGGCTTCTTTCAGAGACTTCCGGGGACTCGGGCCCAAGCCATCTTGTCCAGTCAAGTATGGGACATGCAGTGTGCTGTGTGTGTGGCAACCTGTCCCCTACATGCCACAGCTCTAAGTTCCAAGCCAGCTCCCTGCCTCTCCCTTCACTAGAGAACAGCTGTGAGGATGGTTCACTACTCACCGTCACCTTCCTCCTCTTCATCCTCCTCTTCCCCACCTTCTTCCTCTTCTTCGTCTACCTCGTTGTCAGCCTCCTGTTCCCCATTTTCCTCATTCTTAAACAGAAACAAAAACTATTATTAATCCCACCAGTCAAAAATGTCTCCTCCTCCTTCAACCTTCCCAATCTTGCCCCATGCCAGCACACTGCCTCCAATATCAAGAGGAGCCCTAAGGACACAGGACTCAGTGGCCTTCAGAACCTAGCCAGCCCTCCATCGAGGCGGCCGGTCCTGAGCCAGAAACCGCTCCTCGTAAAGGAGACACTACTCACAGCGTTCCCGTTAGCAGGGGCCTCTCTCCCATTCTCCGCCTCCTCCACAACCTCCTTCTTCTCCTTTAAGTCCTTCAAAAGGTTAAGAAAAAAGCCGGTGAGTCTTCTGAACAAGCAGGGTGAGGGACCAAAAGTTTTGTTACACAAGGCTGCGATGGACGAGCAGGGCCACCTCGGTGACCGGGGCCGTTGAGCCCCTAAAGCACCGAAACCCGGGCCCACAGCAGCCATCGGGCGCCCCCCGCCCCCATCACGCCTCTTAGGGGAAGAGCCATGTGGCAGGCACAAGTTCCAAACCCGTCTGGCCAGGCAGACGAGCCTGGGAACACAGCGCTCCCACACCTCCCCCTCTCCCACCGCAGGCCGGCTTCCTAGCAGAGGAAGCCCCGCCCCCAGGAGCGCTTCCATAAATAAATAAGGCCTCCGAGGACCAGCGCGGCGGGGAGGGTCCCCGGGGTGGACTCGTCAGGGAAGCGGCGGGAGGGGAAAACGGGCCGTTTGGTCAACAGCGAGTGCCAAAACCGCGCCGCAGCTCAGGATTTGGGCAAGAACGCCGCACCCCGAGCCCGCACACGGGGGAACCGTCCCTAGACACCGCACGTC